TACCTACAGCGATGAATAGGATAAGCTATGCTTTTAATGACTCTTATACCTTGAAAATTCAAGTGGGGTATGGTAGGATACTCTTAATAAGAAGTCACCTATATGAGTGTGAAGTGGGGCCGCTTCTATGAGAACTTCTAAGGCTAAGTTTTCTAGAGCGCTCATGAAATACCAGGCGTTGTTCAGGGCCATATGAACACAACCGTGAGAACCGACTTTGTGTGGGAAGGAATTGTGTGTCTGCTATTGTCTTGGTTTACATCAACGGCTGAACAGTTCAAGACATAATGTTCACTGGTTAGCTAGTAAATCCGATAGTAATACACTAGGGAAGGTTCAAGGCCAAAAGCTACCTATCCCGATGCAGTAACTTTCCAATAGTACTCTCTATAGTGTCTGTATCTTCTCCTTTGTAATCTGCGAAAATTTTCATTCATGTGGGGGATTGTTGGAAACGGCATTAGAAAACGCAAACTTTGGAAGGATTTTTAAAAAGATTCCGCTAAGAATTTTTTGCGAATCTATTGATGAGCGCGTTCCTCTCTGCGAGGAGATGAACATGGTATATTTATTTTCTCAAATCCGTTTCCGGGTGAATGAGAAATTGGCTCCAAAGTAAGTGATTTATAAAGCCTAAATGGGTGTGAATAAAGTGGGAAATGCTTGTCCCACATCGGAAAAGTAGCAAAGCAACCTTGAGTATATATATGTCTAGTATGGGATTTGGGTTTGGGCCCAAGGGCACCCAAGTTTTTAAGAGGGGGAGGACCTAGGCTAGCCTGGATCCGAACCAACTACCACACGCGCGCGCCGCCCGCCCGGTCCGGTCCGGGCTAGGGCGGGGCGGGGCTTGATTGTGAAATGGGTTTAACTTTTTACCCAAAGTTAGGATGGGCCTGTGTGGTAATTTTATTTTGTTGCTGGACTTATCAAAATGGGCCTATTTACTGGACTTATTTAAGTGGGCTTGCGGGTGGAGCACGCTGGGCTGGGCTGCCGAAGTTTGCTTGCTGGGCTTAATCTGTTTTGGGTTTAAATTCAAATCAAAAACTGTTTTTTTTGAACCAAGGGTTGCACCCTTTACAAATTAAAAACCATTGGTCAACAATGGTTGCACCCATTCGGACTATGGGTGCACCCATTCAGAATAGGCACCAACAAGCCTATAAATACCCATCATTGGGTTCATTTCAATTCACACCAAATTCAGAAATCTTCTTCTCTTCTTCTGAATTTCTTCTTCTAATTCTTCTTTGTTCGGTTCAGCCACTGGTTTGGGTTCAACCTAAACTGGTTTGGATTGGGTTCGAACCTTGGTTTCCAAGTTTAGGTTCAATCTTAGTCTCCGAGTTAGGATTCAATCCTGGTCTCCGAGTCTGATTTCAACAGAGAGTGCTACACCGAGTCGGTTCGCCTATTCCATTGGTTTGAAGTGCTACTACCAAAGGAAGAAAAGTCGTTGTATCCTGGGAGATAGACGCCGAAGAGTCCGTTAGCACCGTAGCGGGGTGTATCTGTCTTAAGGCTATAGAATTAAATTCTAGCCTCGACTTTATCAGGTTCTTTTATAGTTTTATTTTCTTGATATTATATAGATTATTATAATAAATATTATATTTACAAATAATATTTAAATAAATTATACTATAGTATATGATACATTATTTATTATTTTTGATTAACACATAAGAGGCATCCATAGTCTTCTTGCAATGAATGAAATGAGTCATTTTAGAGAAACGATCAACAACCACAAAAATGGAATCATTACCCCATTGTGTTCTTGGTAAACTCACCACAAAATCCATGCTAGCATCTTCCCATGGAGCTTTAGGAAGTGGTATGGAGTGTAGGCACCAGTATTTTGACTTTGTCCTTTGCAAGTTTGGCATATTTGGCATCTCTTTACATAGTGGGTCATATCTCGATAAATGGTAGGCCAAAAGTATTTATCTTCAAAGCAAGATGGTTTTGTTTCTCCCAAAGTGCCCTCCCAAGCCTCCCAAATGAAGTTCCTTAATGGTATACTCTCTAAGGGAGCATTTTGGAATGCACAAGCGAGCATCTTTAAAGAGAAAATCATCTTGGAGAAGATAGTCTTCATGCTGCCCTTCTTTACAAAATTTTCGAATTTCACCAAAATCTTCATCTATGCATACATAGGGCTGTAAATGAGCCGAGCTGAGCTGAGTAGTGGACTGTTTGAGCTTGGCTCGGCTTTTACAGAAGGGTGTTTGAACTCGGCTCGAGCTCAAGCTGAGCTCATACTTCAGTGTTCAAGCTCGGCTTGAAGTAGTTCGCGACCAATCGAGACGAGCTCGAGCCTCGTTATCACTTCGCATCAGTATCAGACTTCATATAGAAGTTATAGAACACACACATATATATATAGTGGAGCTCAAGTTCAGAGAGAGATACAACAAATTTAGAGAGAAATGCAACAATAATCATATATATATATATATATATATATATGTATAACATAGATGTATTAAAATAAATAAATTATTACATAGATTTTCCCCAAAAAAGTTAGCCTTTTGCTGGTGCTCGATCGAGAGATGGACCGGTAGAAGGCAAAATTATCTATGGATTGCAATTGACAAAGAGAGAGAAAATGTTGTAGATGAGAAGAGAGAGAGAGACGCTGTAGATGAGAAGCTTTCTTTAGGTGTGGCAATGTGAAAGAAAATACGGAGCAGCTGATAAGAATGTAATTAGATTGGTTAGGGTTATATATGTATATATGGGCTTTGGGTTTGTGGGCCTTAATTGGGTTAAGAGATTAGTTTTCACTTTAAACTTTAAATGGGCCTTGTATATAAACTAAATGGATTGGGTATAAATTAATGTTTAGGCTCTTACTATTATTAATTTATTAATATCTATATGTATAATTACTTAAGCTACCAAACATGTTCACGAGTTTTGTTCACCAACATGTTCACGAACAAACGAGCTGAGCAGGGGACTGTTTGAGTTTGGCTCATTTATTAATCGAGCTTGAAAATCTTGTTTGAGTTTGGTTCGTTTATAAACAAACGAACACGAACCGGGCTCTTAGTGAGCTGAGCATGAGCTATTTGTCGAAAGATTGGTTCATTTACATGTATATATTTATATACCCTTAGTAATTTGGCCTATAAACCCAAAGCCCTTATGTACATATATTTTTTTTCAATAATATACCCTTATGCTGTGTTTGGTAGGAAGGAAGGACGAGTTGTGGAGAGAAAATAGGAAGGAAGGAACAAATTTCCTTTGTTCAGTAGAGATGATATAAGGAAAGAAATGAAAATAGCAAGGACGGGCTTTACAAATTTTCATCAAGGAGGGAAGACAAGTGAATTGTCATAGAAGTTTTAAATTAAATACTACTCTAAATTATACAAGTTTTAAATTACCTCTATAAATTACAATATTATAAATATTATTGGATATAATGATAAAAATAATTAAAACTTTCTCTTTCCTTCTCTCTTAACGAATATAGGAAATTTTAAATACGAAATACACAATCTTTTCCCGTGGATGTCTCATCCATCCCTTCTTCTCTCCCTTCCATCCAAATTTTTTCTTCCCTACCGAACTGAGCATTAGTAATTTGTTTTCTTCAATTATATACCCTTAAAAATTTACTATTGCCCCCCCACCCCCCTCACACAATATCTTAGGTCCGTCCCTGGTTATAGAATATATGTTTGACACAAGAACCCAAATAGAATTACCCCAATCCTACACATTTGATGATGGGAGAAGAAAAAGCTTAAATTAAGAGCAGAGGAGGTTTAGTTCTAAAATAGATGGAAATTGCTTTTTTCATCAAATCTCGTCTGATTTAAATTCTAGAATATGCCCTTAAAGAACAACAACATCGTAATACATTAAACTATTATATAACATATAATGTATTAAATGTGCAGCATGTGTCATACCCTTGCTCAATTTTTAGATGTATTGTAAGTCAAGTCCCCATATCCTGAGATTTAGGATCAGGGAGGTTTGACACCTGAACACACACAGACAGATGTTATTCGAGTCCATGGAGCATTAAATTATTTATTTAAACCAAAAAAAAAAAAAAAAAAAAAAAAAAAAAAAAAAAAAAAAGCGAAACATAATATAATTGCCTCATATTTCCATTAATTTTTGGACAGAATGGAAACATGTTTGATCTTGTCTATAGATGTTTCTACTTTTGGAAACTGAAACGAAAATCACAGAAAAATTCATGTGGCAAATTATAAGTGAAAATAAAGCACAAGCAGCCAGAGCTTAAAAAAAAAACAAATAACCCTTATAGACAGTAAGGGATTTTTGTGCTGAATTTTAGTGGAAAACATTATTTCATTTTCTCATCTGCTTTGAACTCACAGGTTTTAATTAAATTGCGAGAACAGAATGTGTCGATAAAACCTGCATGTATTCCTTGTTATAGTAGTTATAGTATTGTGATAGTTGGCATAGTGATTGTAGAGCATACAGAAATGTATTGTTGCAGTCAGTTTGATATTTGACAAAGATTAAATATCATAATATTGTGTTTCCTCTGCCCCATCTTAAACAAAGGAGCTTCTTTTTTCACATTTTTGGGTAGTTAAACCACCAAGTATCTAGTTGGAGTTCTTCTATAATATAATATATAAATATATATATTGCGTGAAGCATGAGTATTGCTCCCTTTGATTCTCTTGCCATACATGTTGATAATTAACATGGTCATGATTATAGTTTGTTATGTGTTTGTGGTCCGGAAAAAGTTATGGAATTGAATGAAATTAAATGATTATACAATTTTTTGCTTATGGGAATGATAATGGCATCTGATAATTCAACTTGCATGTTGGAAAAGTAAATAGTTTATTCATACAATGATGCATTATGAAATAATAGTATATTAGGTTATTCTAAACGGATCATTCACCTCTTTAGCAGGAAAAATGTCCTCTATTTATCTAATGACTAGTGTCTGATAAATCTCTTGTTCTGTGTCCTTGCAGGTTTAGCCTTTCCACACTGTTTTTTGCCCATAGTAAGTGATATTCAGGTTCATGTGGATAAATATGGTTTTGTGGGGACATGATGCAGCACTAATAACTCTTGGCTTCTGTTTTCATTATGCAGGAGAGAACACTGTGAGCACCCTTGGTCGTGTAGTGCTAATTTTATGGCTCTTTGTGGTCCTGATAATCAACTCAAGTTACACTGCAAGTTTAACCTCAATCCTCACCGTGCAACAGCTATCTTCTCATGTTAAAGGGATTGAAACTTTGAAAGAAAGCAATGATCCTATTGGATACCAAGTGGGCTCTTTTGCCGAGCATTATTTGACTAAGGAAATTGGTATACCTCAGTCTAGACTTGTTGCCCTCGGATCACCAGAACAATATGCAATAGCACTTCAACAAGGTCCCAAAAAAGGGGGTGTTGCTGCTGTGGTTGATGAACGTGCATACGTAGAGCTTTTCCTATCAAGCCAGTGCAAATTCAGGATTGTAGGTCAAGAGTTCACCAAAAGCGGCTGGGGTTTTGTGAGTATTTATTTGGTTGTCCATTTCTTTTTCATAAAGTAGTTGCATTAAGATTTAGATGGTTGGAGTTTTTCTGTGGAAAAATTAAGATCAGTTTTAGATGTCCCACAACATAATTGGTTATTATTTTCTTCTTAGACAACATTTAAAATAAAAGTCAATCTTCTACAATGGAGTTATTACATATTATGGAGCCTTTATTGTCTATGATGATCAAATGATTGATAAAACGTAAATCACATTTCCCTAAAATTCTCCGGTTTAAAGTGTTTCTGTAAAAATCTCATATTTAAAACAATTATTGGAAGGAGCATGTAGACTAATTTGACCACCAACTAAGATGACTAATTACAAAGTCCAGCAGGCATAAAAAGACTTTTTACATTTCAACCTGATCCCTGTAAGCCAATGAGTTTGATTCATTTCAATAAGTAATTTTAATGAGGACCAGTTGTTTGTTTCTATTAACCATTGAGTTCTACTATAGTAGAAACCTTTGTTCACTTTTTTCTTTACTTAGTCAATGTTGATTACTGTTAATGCAATTGGTACTTAGTCAAAAAAATTTTTTTCCTTCGAGAAAGGTCAAACAACATAATTGATAAATCACAAAGTTACTTAGTTAATGCTGATTACTGTTAATGCATGCAATTGGTACTTGGTCAATGTTCATTGCTGTTAATGCATGCAATTAATAATTGGTCAATGCCGATTACTTTTGATGCATGCAATCGGTACTTAGTCAATGCTGATAAATCTTTGTGCTTCACCTTTTTCTTTGCAAATCCTAAGACCACTAACTGTAATAAACCATATTCAATTATGTAATTGATCATAAACAACATTTTTCTGTTGTGAGGGGTTGTGTTATGTCAAAATTCATTTAACCACCGCAAGGAATGCATCTAGAATAGCAATATGTTACAATTACGGATTTTTTTAATACAATTCCAAAGTAATTGTAGTTTTATTTTTTATTTTAATATATTTTCTGATGTAGACTGATGTACATGAGGAACATAAAACTTTGATCCTTTCTCCTTTTTATTTGATGTACTTTTTACTCGACTTAACCGAGAAAACGTAATTTTTACTAGGCATTTCCACGTGACTCACCCTTGGCTGTTGACATGTCAACTGCAATTTTAACACTATCTGAGAATGGGGACCTCCAGCGGATCCATGACAAGTGGTTGACAAGAAGCACCTGTAGTTTAGAGAGTGCTGAGATTGAGTCGGACAGACTTCATCTGAAGAGCTTCTGGGGCCTCTTTCTTGTATGTGGTATTACTTGCTTTCTTGCTGTCTTCATATATTTCTTGCAGATTATGCGTAAGTTTCACCGTGCTGCACGAGATGAATCGGCTTCAAATGGCGGCGTCAGCTCACGCTCTAGGCGTCTTCAGTCATTATTATCATTAATGGATCAGAAGGAAAACCACTCAAAAAGGGAGAATAAGAGAAGGAAATTGGAGAGTTTATCATCTGACTATGATATGGAAATTGAACTTGGAAGGAGCCCTAAAAGGAAAACCACAAATATCTACAGACAGCAAACTTAACAGAAGCTATTCAACTCATTAGTTAGAGAACCTCTGAATGTATTATTTACATGGAAGACATTGTATTATCCATCCATATCTTAAAAAGATCAACTTATATGTGCAAGAATCAATTGTTTATAGGGGAATTATTATTGGTAAGCAGCATTTTTCTATTATAGGAATTTAGTTTGTACTTTTATACCACAAGGGTTGTATTAACAATGTAAAATCAATATATTACTGGCTTATAGCTTTATTGAAGGTGAATTATGTAACAATTTTGAAGTGTGTAAGTCTGATTTTGCTTGACTTTCTAGAATTTGATGTTATAAACTTAATTGGCTACTATGCAGATGTTTGTAAACTAGTTTAGGATAAGATTTTACCTGACGGTTTATAATTAGTCTTTGCATACTAAACATTTTACCAGAACAAAAATAGGTAACATGAAGAAGCTAGTTTAGAATCGAGTATTTTATTAAAATGCTTTTGCTGATAACTGAGACCTTGTTTTGCATTGTCTGCTATTAAGCTGGGGCTCTTGTAGAAGCCAAAGCCGCTTGGATGGCCATGGCTGCTACTAATATACTAAGGGAAGAACAACTGCACTATATGTATATGTATGTGTGTGTATATATATATATATATATATATATATATATATATATATACTTGCATTAATACTTTGAAGATTTATGGTCCGGAGGTTGGGATTACGTGTCCTAAAAGCCTAAAAGCCAATTATTTACTTTAATATTTGATATCTAGTTAGTAAATGTAATTTATTAAATTAGATATTCATGCATGTATTTGCATGTAACGACCCGAACCCGAGGGTCTGAATCGCTCACCGGGTCCTTACCCAAACCCAAGGTCATCTAAGGCAATGCCATCATATCCAATGTCAATACACCAATATTACGTCATTCTAAAGTCCACAGTGATCCAAGGTAACTTCCTTTGACTTAAGAATGGTCATACCAGAAGAAGAAACAAGAAGCAAGGAGGGGTAACAGACCGGTCGACCGAAACAGCTTTATCGGTCTGCCGGTTGTGAGGCTGAAACATGGTTGGCGACTGTAAATGGTCAAAATGGAAACCGGTCGACCGAAATGCGACCGAAATGCCATTTCGGTCGACCGGAATGACTTTGCTAAAACAATCCTGCTGCTGAACTGGTATAAGAACGAGGGAAATGCATAGGCCTCATTTAGGCCTTAAAACTATCATAACCTATCCCAATGCACTGCAATATAATATAAGGTCCCCTAATCACCATCATTAAAAATGAGCATTCAAAGCAGCTGACGTCCATCTCATTCATTCTAAATATCCACATGGTTCTTTACATACATAACCTTAGAACAAAAATGAATTTCTACCCATTGCATACATCTCTTAAATACACTTATACATGTCCGAGGAGCATAATTAAAGATACAAGGCCAAAAACATACAAATTTGTCATTATACAAGGAATTTAAATACATAAATGAGTCTGACATGGCCGTAAATACAACATCATAACATTATAGGGAATTCTAGCGTCATCTAAGTCTGTGAATGCAAGTCATACGTCCACACTCCTCCGGTTTCCTGAAAATGTTAAGATAAGGGGTGAGCTCAACAGTTCAGTAGGTAATGCCTAAAGCACTGATTTTGGACTCCCTTGAGCCAACAACCAAAGAAGGGGGAAAAAAAAAAGAAGTCGGGATCATACACGAGAAATTATCAAAATCACAGTCCGCATCATTCAATTTAAAAGATTATCATTCCATAATCAGTCATAATCATAGGTGCCAAAATGCCATAAAATGTAATGCTTTCCTAACCACAGTCCCAGCCCAACACAACGCACACCGAAAATCGCTAACCGACTTTACCGAGGCGAGATTGATAGTTTCCCTGGTTCCAAATCCAGCAACCGTTTCGGTCCTAGTATCTGTGAGATATTATTTTATTTTTGGTAATTATCATAGACAAAACAAGTCCAAGTCGAGTTGTAATTCAAATTACTTGTTGTGTAAGTTATCAAGTTCGACAGCGACTACAGAACTGGGAAGTTGTTCAAACTTACCATGCTTAAAGATCTTTTGAAGAAAAAGGTAAGAACAACACTTTAGGAAGGATTCTAAACAAGGTTGGACACATTATACACTTTCCATTTTGTTCAAAACTTACCGTAGAATGATTTTAGGCTGAAGGAACCAAAATTTCAAGTCTGCCAAACTTGAACCGGTTCAGCCCCTCTGAACCGGTTCAAGATTCTCAAGTTTGGCTTTGAAAAGGTTTCTGTCAAACTTGAACCGGTTCAGCCCCTCTAAACCGGTTCAAGGTGTCCTGTTCACTATACAACTTCAGTTTCCTTATCCTGAATTGTTTCCCAGTTGGTCTAGAATTGTACCAAACCCTATGCACGAATTTTTCCTTATTTTCAGAGGGATTAGGTCATTCTATACTCTACATAAACCATGTCATATACATTGGTTTATTTACGGCTTTTGCATTATCAGTTTGTTATTCTCAAAAAGCCTTCGGAAGATTTTTGTCTCAGAAATTCTTAGAGAATTTTTTGTTTGTCTTTCTAGAATATATACACATAAACACTTAGTGAGTTTAGAGTTATGTAATCCTGATTATGATCATACAGTTGTATCTACATTGATCAGACAAAAGCAGATCTACTTTTACATTAAATCCAGAAGTTGAATAGAAGTAAAAGCGATCACACTTTGAAAGGGTTGGAGTATTCAAGGAGTGCTATTTGATCTACCTGTTACTCTTCCACAAAGATCAAGCATAAGTCTAAGGTCAAGTCGCTGTTAGATGGGGAGTCGCAAAGCTAGAGGATTGTCAGCAGTTGATGTTTGGTAGAACGATAGGGTGTGAGCCAGAGTCAAAGTTCAGTGTACTTTGTTTCAAGCATAGTGGATCGGTTTACTTTGGACTGCATAGTCCACGAGGTTTTTCCCATGCAAACAGTTGACGTATTTTATCAATTGTGGTTTCCTCGCTAAAATCCTGGTGTCATCTCTAACTTAACTTTGTTTTATTTTAGCTTGCATGATATTAATTTATTAATTACTAAAATAAAGTAAGTTAGAAAAACACAAGATCTGTTTTTAAAATAAACAAAACTTTATTAGTACATTCCGTTGCATACGACTCACAAATTGGTATCAGAGCCAATCTTCTACACATTGAGTTGATCCTTTCTGGAAAGTTTTGTTTTGTTTTTCAAAAATTGTCTTCAAAGTCATGTTTTATGCGTTGAAAGAAGGCGGTTCTAATCAATGTGGTCCTTTATTTGAAGGAGATAATTATAATTTTTGGAAATCAAAGATGAGAACCTATTTACAAAATTCTGGTGGAAAAACTTGGGCGATAGTTGAATCTGGCTATACACCTCCTACAGTAGATACAAATGTGGATGGTAAAATAGTTAAAGAGTTAAAAGATATTTTTGCTTTTACTGCTATTGAAACTGAGCGTAATGGTGCTAATGGCAAAGCTTTATATTCAATTATTAATTCTGTTGTTCCATCTGAATATGCTCGAATTTCTGAATGTAAAACTACTAAAGACGCTTGGGATATTTTGCAGGTTACTCATGAAGGAACTTCAAAAGTGAAGTTGTCCAAAATTCTGTTGCTTTCTCATAAATTTAGAAACATCGTGATGAAAGAAGATGAATCCTTTTCTGATTTTTATTCTAGTCTTCTTGAAATAATTTCTGAACTGCGTCACTTAGGTAAAAAAGTTAATGATAAGAAAATATGTGAGAAAATCTTAAGGTCTTTACATAAAAGATTCCAGATTAGAGTTGAAACCATCACTTAACATTGGGATTTGACTACATGTAAAGTAGATGAGATGGTAAGTTCATTAAAAACTTTTGAGATGTAGAACTTTGATTTAAGTCAGAAGGAGAAAAATCTAGCTTTAAAATCTACACAAGTTGAGAATTCTGTAGATGATAACTCTGATGATGATCTTGCATTCTTGTCAAAGCAATTTAGTTAGATTTTGCAAAGACAACAGCAGAGAAGGAATTGCAATATGGCTAATCCTCAAAATTTTGACAAGACGTCAAAGTTTAGGTTTAATGAAAAGAATGTAGAAGAATCAAAAGAAACTGAATTTATTTGCTGGAATTGTGGTGGCAAAGGTCACGCATCCAATGTTTGTCCTAGTCTTAGGAAAGAACAAAATGATAGGAATAAAGGAAAACCAATGAAAGTTTCTATGTCTGAAAATTCTACTTTAAGTGATAATGATTCTCCTCAGGATGATACTAATGATTTTTCTTATATCGCTTTTCTTGAAAGAGGTCCTCATGTTGTTTCTTTATCTGAAATGTCAGAGTCAGATAAAGAAACAACATGAGGACCTCTTTCAAGAAAAGCGATATAAGAAAAATCATTAGTATCATCCTGAGGAGAGTCATTATCACTTAAAGTAGAATTTTCAGACATTTCAGATAATGAAGACAATGAAGTTCATAATGAACAGGTGGAAGAGGCTGAAAAAGATGATGAAAAGATTGAAAAAGATGGTCAAAGAAACCATGGAAGTAAAACAGACAATCAATAAGCTAGCAAAGGAGCTTATCTAAGCAAAAGGAGATAATGAAGATCTAAAGAAACAGATTGATGAAGGCAAAATGAAAGTGGTGCGACCGAGCGTGTGCACAAAATAATGCAAAACACTTTAGGTTTAGAAATAATGTCAAGTGGGCACCATATTTTAAAATTTATAAAACCACTAAACACTTATACTATGGAGTATGAAGTGAGCAGGGATCGTCCCAAGAGATCTAAACAATTATAGGTTTTCCAGAATTGAATTCTACTTTAGTGCTTATGTGATTGCCAAAAGGGTTTTGTTTGTGATTAAAACTAATTTTAAACTAAATGATTGCAATAAAGAAATAGAGTTTAAGAGATTGGAAAGAGACTTAGGGTGTAGGATTCACCACTAAGCACATTCCCTAACTCACTTTCAACTAATTGGGGAAATAATACTATGTAATCTATATGTGGCTAACAAGTGCAATGAAAAGTGTAAACCATCAATTTCAAGCATGAATCAACTACCTAATGACAATTAAACTAAGTGTAGTGCAATTCACCCATTCAAAGTATGATTTATCAATCCAAGTTACAAATTTAACACACATTAATCTAGAAGATAATGCAATTGTGACAAAAAGTATGGAATTCAAACATAAGTATGGATGGTCTACTTACCTAATAATTGAATTGCAATTAAATTAATT